CCTTCCATCCTTCCGAGGTGGGTAAAATGAGGACCCAGATTGTGGGAACCGCTTAGAGAGGGCTGAAAGCCCTATGAAGCGGTGTATAAGTCTAACTGCTATTGCTATTGCTAAAAGGAGGAGCTGTGGGTGTACGGTGTGTACAAGTGTGTAATTAGTTGAGTATGACTTACATACCAAGAGGAATGTGGACATATATTGAACAACCAACCTCTGATCCAGCAAACTATTTAGTAAATAAAATATTTTGAGTGGAGTTTCCATGTAAACCACCTTTTGAACCCTTGAAGAAAAGGCAGAATCTAATCTAATAAATCTAATAAATAAAGCTGTGCAATGTTGTTGCAAAGGGGAGGAGGGCTTTTAAATGGCTGTTTGTCTTTGTTTAAAACATCTCTCTCCTTCTTTACAGGTATTACCTACTGCTGGAATTCCACATGATTCCCACAGGTATGTAATACATTTCCTTTGGTGATGGAGGCATGGACGGAGTCAACAACCTGAAATGCTTTCAGACTCTGAGACCAAAAATGTGTTTGTTTCCCCATACGTGTTGCCTTTATAGCTCATGGAAACTCAAATATTTAAGTCTTTGATCCAGGCATGGGTTTACATTCAAACCTTCAGTGCTCTGGACCATGAAACTCTTGAGTGCTGCAGATTGGGTGACTTTCAACCAATCCCTGTCTTGGTTCAGCTTCCATGGGGGTGGGGGAGGTGGCGGAAATAGTCAGTGATTTCCATCTGGGAATCTCTAAGGGTCTAGTTTCAAATAAGGGGAGGACAATTTATTTGGGGTATTTTTATGAGTAGGAGAGAGAGCAGTCCATCAACATGTATATCAGCATAACAGCCTCATTCAGATGAAACAAAATGAATTGTCCTTTTTTATTAAGGACAGGGCTATGAAATTGGTCTGTCCATCCATCCATCCACTCACCCATCCATCCACTCACCCAGCCAGCCAGCCAGCCAGCCACCTATCCATCCATCCACCCACCCACCCACCCATCCATCCCTCCATCCATCCATCCTCTTTTTGTTCTTGGCAGTTTCTCCTAATTCACCTATAAAGTGGATTAAGCTGAGAAATGTGACTAAATCTACTTGAGGACTGTGAGGGGGTCTTGAATTTGAGTCTTTCGAGTCTATAACTCACTTTTAAACTACTGCACAGTCTAGATTCAGTTATGGACATCTGATCTATTTGGGAAGATCCCTTGTGATTTGTATATTTGGCACAACCACGAGATGTTCTGAGTTCCTTTTTTCCCCTTACTTAGCTTGCCCTTAAAGCGGAGCTGCCCTTCATTCCCCGATGAATTTGATCCCATAGCCGCAAAGCAAGCAAAAGAAGAAGACCCTCAACGAGGTAAGGTGGAAGGGGCAGATGTCTTCTGCATGCCCAGAGGCCTCATGGCCCAAGAAAAAGCAAAAAGTCCACAGATGCAGAAGGATGCATCCTTCTGTTTGTTAACCACAACACTAACATGCCAGAGTGGCAAATTGGCAAATGGACAGTTAACTAAACTTGACTGTCTAGGGTCCTCTCCACCCATGTCCTTCATTGTCCCATCACAAGTTAAGGAGAGCAATTGGTGGTTTCTTTTCCACTGGAAGGTGGTACTCTGGAAAGTGATACTCTTGGATGCTGTAGCTCAGTGGATAAGACACTGAGCTTGTTGATCAGAAAGGTCAGCAGTTTGGTGGTTCGAATCCCTAGTGCTGCCCGTTACTTGTCCCAGCTTCTGCCAACCCAGCAGTTCAAAAGCATGTAAAAGTGCAATTGGAAAAATAGGAACCACCTTTGGTGGGAAGGGAACAGCGTTCTGTGCACCTTTGGTGTGGCTCTTTGGCTTTGAAACGGAGATGAGCACCATTCCCTAGAATCGGGAATGACTAGCACATATGTGCAAGGGGAACCTTTACCTTTCCACTGGAAGGTAGTACTCTGGAAAGAAAAAAATGAAGCTCAGGGAATCCATCAATCACTTTTCTTAATTTGTCCTGTACTGAGACAATGAGCATGAGATCATCTGCTCTTTTTTCTGAAGCAGAACAGGGACAGGCATTGAGGGCAGTGAAGTTTATGCCAGCGTCTGTGCCCAAGAAGAGTACAAAAACATGGAATGTATGGGATGAGGTTGTGAGGAATGTGGGGCCTCAAAGAAAAGACACAGTGGGTTTGTGAGATTCTATACTGGAAGGAGAGAAATGGGGGCGTCCTTTTTCTGCATCTGCAGAGGGATTTGACCATTATCTCTTGTGTCATTCAGTTCTACTCTATGTACGACGGGAAACAGAGGAAGTTTTTGACGCTCTCATGCTGAAGACCCCTGATCTCAAAGGCCTGAGAAATGCGGTGAGTTTCTCTCCTTGATCAGCTGATGGCTTGGAAATTTGCTACCTTGGGATGAGGTGCTGAATATATCTAGGCTGGAGAAGGGCAGCCAGCAGACCTCCACAAAAGGAAGGGCAACTTGAGTCCGACTGTCTCCCAACCCAGATATTAATTTCTTCGTAGGCTTCTATTTTAATTTTAAATTTTCCCACAATATTGCTTAAATAATGGGAGGAAACAGCTACTGAATGTATTAAAAGGTGGCTCCACTTAATCAATGTTGTACAATGACTCTGGTTGATAAAACCCTGCTGATAAAACAGAAAACCAATCTTGAGAATACTGCATTTTAAGGCCTCCTCTAAAGAAATGTTTGGTTGGGATTATAACTAGCCCATTGGCAGCCTGAAATGGATTTGCATTTTGCATTAAACTAGAGTTTGCTAACTGATAGTTTATGGGGAAAGGCACAATCAGATTGTTGGTTGTATTTCCACAAGGTGTTAGGTCATGAATGGTGATTTCTATTCCTCAATAACTGTATTCATACAGTGTACTCCTTAAGCCATGGGTGTCAAATTCAAGGCCTGTGGGCCAGATCCAGCTCGTGGGGTGCTTAAATCTGGCTTTGTGTTCCCTCCCCTATGCCCCGTTTTGGCTGGCAGGATGCTGTATGAGGTGTCCATCCCATCTCCCCCCACACACACCAGCCAGCCCATGGAGGAGAAGTACAATGCTGATCCAGCTCTCGAAGAAATCCAGTTTGACACCCCTGCCTTCAACCAACCATACCACATAAAGAACTGGCATAATGTCTGAACCTCATGAATATATACCATAGGGCAATGAGAGCTTAAACAACAAATGAGTCCTACTTTTCAGTTCCTGTGAGGATTTGTGTTTCACCATCAAAGGCCCCATGTCTAACTTGGTTTCAGGCCCGTTTCTGGAGACTGTTTTCCTATTCATTCTGTACTCTCTTTCTCTGTAGATTTTGCCTCTTTTTGCTTGGCTTGGCTAGCAGTTCTCCCCCTTCTCTCTACCACCATGCACATTTGCTCAATGTTTAAAGAGCACACAATGCTTGAGCATATTTCTGTGATGTTTATCAGAACTGTTCCTGATAACCCTCGGCTTGGCTTGGCTGAGGCCGGGAATAAAGCAAACAATCTCCTGAAATGATCTGATAGCCCTATTTATGGCTTTGCTTTATATGTGTGTGTGTGTGTGTGTGTGTGTGTGTGTGNACACACACACACACACACACACACACGGATAAATTCAAGAAAAGAAAGATTTCAGAAGAAAGCAAAACGTTTAATTCAACTACTTATGCCTAGTTCTGTGGCCACTCAGGAAATAGTCAGGCACGAGAAGGATTTTGCGGCTCCTGGTGTTTCTCTCTTGGAGATGACCGACCGCTGACCTAGTGAAAGCTTTCATAAGGCCTGACTGTGTGGCGGTCATTCTTCAGCATCTGTCCCAGGACCTAGAGCAGACCTTAACTCCATGCCTCCCAAGTTTCCCCCTGGTGTTGTCATCTCCTGATGGCCCAGTTTATATCGGTGGTGGGAACCCAAGATAATCTGGCTTGAGTTTAGAAACCAGCTCTTTAAAGCCGCCTTGTTGAAAAACTCATTTTACCGTGGTGGGAAAGCGGGAGGGAGAGCCAATCAATCGACACGCTGGTGTTAAATTTACGTTTGTGTTTAGCTTGAAATTGATCCCTTTATTTCTTTGCCAGTAAAACATAAATTTAACACACAATTTCTCAGCAGGCCTGCAAAGGCCCCTGAATTGGGGCTGAAAGGCGAAAACGGAAGCAGTGTTCTCCGTCCCATAATTGGGGAGACCAGGTTGCCTTGATAAACCGGTTCCACATTTAATTGATCCACTGGGTTGCATAAAAATATCAAATTTATCCTGTTCCCCCATCTCCCCACCACCATCGGCACTGAAGAAAGCACAGCAGAGGAGAAAACCAGTCGTCCTGGTTGCAGGTGGAAAGCATTTAAACTGAAGGAATGCAGTTTCCTCTCTTATTGTGGATGTTGTCATTGCTGCCATCTGCCGTCACCAGAGGCATGGAGTGCACATTGTGTAGGGGCTCTCGGTCCCGTTGTTGGCCGGCTTCACACAGGAAGGGAAAACCAGCTTAGCGGCAGATGTGCAAAGGGTTTCATCCTGTCGTTTCCAGGACGGCTTGTTTCCTTCGTTCCTCTCTTCGCGCTTACACCAAAACATGTTTTAGTTCTCAATATTGGGCAGAAGGCTTTATTTTGCTCACTGGTTTACTACACCAGGGTGCTTAGCTACAGGTGGTCCTCGACTTACAACGGTTCATTTAGCGACCTTTGAAAGTTACGATGCCGCTGAAGGAGGTGACTCGTGACTGTTTTTTCACACTTAATAACCATTGCAGCTTCCCGTGGTCACCTTCATTGAACGACCCCATAATCCCTTGTGGGGTGGAGTCTGAGCAACTGAATGGAGATAGCAGAGCATTTTAATGGCCGGATGCCCTTCCTGTCGCCAATGTGGAGCTTTGTTCAGAAGATATATCCTCGCTGCGCCCAGAGAAAGAAATACCTAGCATCCTGATTGTGAGGCGAGAGTTTCACCTCTAGGCCACCCGCACTACTCTTGGTGGCTTCACATGNACATGATTATGACTACATGAAATGAATACCAATAGAAGGAAACATTAGGACAGGGATGGGATGCACACTGGTGTGCTTATGCACATCCCCTTTACAGACGTCTTAGGAATGGGGGGGAGGTCAACGGTAGACTGTCTTAAGGTTAAAGTTTTGGGGGTTTGGGGTTTGGCCCCAAAAATGTCTTGATGGCAGCTGAGCATCATGGTAAGCCGTGTTGGCCTCTGTTGGCACAGTCTTGTGTCCCATGGCCCTGGAGGTTTTTGAGGAGAGATGGAACAAGCTTTTGTCTGAAATGTTACGGGGGTTGGACTAGAAGACCTCGAAGGTCCCTCCCAGCTCTGGTTATTCCGGTAGTCTTTGACTTACAGCCATTCCTTGAGTGACATTTGAAGTTAACAGCGGCACCAAAACGGGGCTGTTTCTCAACGCTTACAAACCATTGCAGCATCTCCATAGTGGTCAGAAGTCAGATGCCGGGCAACTGACCTCTATTAACGACGGCTGTGGTATCCCCCGGATCATGTAAATCAGTGGTCTCCAACCTTGGCAACTTTAAGACTTGTGGACTTCAACTCCCAGAGTTCCTCAGCCAGCAAAGCTCTAGGAGTTGAAGTCCACAAGTCTTAAAGTTGCCAAGGTTGGAGACCACTGATGTAAATCCCTTTCTGGCAAAAGTCAATGGAGATGCCATATTCACTTAACAACCGTGTGGACTAGCTGAACAACAGCAGTGATTTGCTTAAGCGTGGCAAGAAAGGTTGTAAAATGGGACAAGGCTGAATTCACAACTGCCTTGCTCAGCAGCAGAAATGTTGGGCTCAGTTATCGTCGTAAGTTGAGGACTACCTGTATTGTGTTCAATGTTGCCCGCTTGCCATTGCTCCTTTTTATCACTGAATGATGCCCCTTCAAGCAATCCAACCGCTTCTACCCCCAAATCCCTTTTGTGACCCATCATCGTTGGGTCCAGTAACTTCTGCCCCAAGACCTAGTGCAGGGGTCAGCCAACTGCGGCTCTGGAGCCGCATGTGGCTCTGGAGCCGCATGTGGCTCTTTCATCCCTCTGCTGCGGCTCCCTGTCGCTCAAAATATGCGTCAAACAGCCACCAATGTGTGATACCTGCCAGCACACAATTTATTGAGCTTTTCGAACACACACACACACACACACACACACACACACACACGGATAAATTCAAGAAAAGAAAGATTTCAGAAGAAAGCAAAACGTTTAATT